CACGTGACCCAGCAGTTCCACTCCAGGTGCCCACTGGGTGTGAGCACTAACACAAACAGGTTTGCGCCAAAAGCTTGTTCACAGCAGCGTTATTCATCCTGGTCAAAGAGCAGGAAGAACACAGTTGTGCCTCAGCTGGAGAGTGAGGAGATACAGTGTAGTGGATCCCGGAGAAGGGTGATTAGCCACAGAACGAATGGTTCATACTGCAGAGCAGACGAACCCGAAGGCTGTTGTGCTAATGGTGAGCAAAGTCGGATGCTGCAGACCACATGCTACACAGTTCCATGTATTAACAATGCCTGGAACAGACAAATCCTTGGACACAGAAACAGATTGATTGGTTGCTGCCTGGTGTTGGGGGAACAGGCGAACAGGGAGCAAATGCTAAGGACAAGTTAGCCAGGCGAGGTGGTGCACGCTTGTAATGCCAGCACTAAGGAGGCTGAGGCAGGAGGATCACTGTGAGCTCAAAGCCTGGGTTATGTAGAGAGTTCAACACTAGCTTGAGCTACCTAGCAAGACTGTCTCAAAAACCAGAGAGAGAGAGACAGAGAGAGAGACAGAGAGAGACAGAGAGAGACAGAGACAGAGAGAGACAGAGAGAGACAGAGAGAGACAGAGAGAGACAGAGAAACAGAGAAAGTTCTGCAATCAGATAGTGTCATTGGCTGTATAACCTTGCGACTGTACTAAAAAACCTCTGACTTATACACTAGTACATGAAGGGCGATGTTAAGGTATGTCGATTATGTATCAACTTAAAAAAACCCAGCGTACAGGCAGCTTTATCCTGCTTTACCATGTGGACCCTGGGCAGGAAAGTTAGCATTTCCCATGCTAGTGTCCCACTCGGCCAGGCACCTTCATTCCTGAGGTCAATGTAAGCTGGTGCAAGTGAGGGGGGAACCCAAGAGCCATTCCTGGGTCTCTGGGGCAGGGCAGAGGCATGTTTGGGGCCCCAACTCATCCCATGACTGGGCTCTGTGTGCCAGGAGACAGGGCCATTCAATCCAGGCCTGCTGAGATCTGCATGCAGGTGTTTGATCTGTCCAGTAGGCAAACATGCAAAACACCCTGGCCAGTGCCTAGCTACACCAGGTAGGCTTGCCCTGGGGTTCTGGGTGTGGCCTCAGAAAGCCTGCAGAGACTTGCCTGTCACTTGACCTAGATTCTCTCCTAGTCCTGCACAAAGAAGCTCGGAAGGGGCTCTGGACAAACCACATTGGCCTGTCACTCATGTAACAGGTACTGCCAGGTAGGGGGACTGGCCACTAACTGTATTTGCATAAAGTAATTACTGAGATCTGGAAACTCAGCCAGAGCTCTGGAGGGGGATGGACACATATAACACCTCTGCTGGACTTTTGTGACCCCCAAGTCTCTTCCCCATGGTTCCCCCACCTGGGGCTCTTTCTCAGGCTTTCCCTCCTGCAGGCTCCTCTGCCTTTCTCTTTTTCAAGAACAGTGTTCAAAGCCAAGCGCGGTGCACACACCTGCAATCTCAGCTACTCTGTGAGGCTGAGGCAGAAGAATGATAAGCTTAAGCCCAGCTTGGGTAACTTAGCAAAACTCGATCTAAAAATAAATTGTAAAAAGGGCTGTGGATGTAGTCAGGTGGAAGTTCCATGCTCACTTCTCAGGACAGCAAAACAGCAGCAGCAACAATACAACAACACTGTGTGCAAGTCCTGGTGCTGCCGTGTATGGATGGGCAAACCCAGCATGTTCCATAACCTTTCTGTGCCTCGGTTTCCCCTTGTGTAAGGGAGTGATTGCAGTACTTCCTCTGCAGGGAGACGGGGTAAAGTGTGGGCAGAACCTTGACTGTCACGTGGCTGCTCGGTCCCGGTCTGCTGACTGCCACCGAGCCAGCGCTAACCCTCCTTTTGCGGGCTGCACAGGTTGGGGGCCCACTCTTCTAACATGCTTTCTTCCAAGGAGGGGGACAGTGGCCATTAGCAGCCTTCTTATACGTTTTCTGTTTTTTGAAACAGTGTCTTGCTGTGTTGCCCAGGCAGGCCTTGAATTCACAGTGATCATCCTGCCTCAGCCTCCCCAGTGCTGAGATTACAGAGGTGCATCTCCACACCCAACCCTCTTATACTTTCCCCCCTTTCCTGCTGTGTGCCAAGACTACCAACCCCAGGGCTATCTGCTACTGCTCCTGGATGGACCCTGACCTCCATCACTGGGTCTGGGTGGCTGTGAGGTTGCATACTGGGGAGCTGAACATCCTCCTGCCACAGCAGCCGGATCAGGCGCTCGTCTGAGAGCCACACACACACCTGGCCCTCATCTGCAGGGAGCCCCGTGGGACATGCCCTTGCCCCAGGGCCAGGGATGCTTCCACAGTGGGCTGGCTGGCCACACCCTGACAGCCCGGCCTTCATTCCAGCCCAGCTGTGCAGATGGGGCAGGGGAGGCCACCCCCACCGACCTGCAGACCTTTCGATGCCCAGTCTGTTCCTAAAGGCCGCCTCTGCTCTGGCACACAGGGCCGGGAGGGGTGCGGTCCCACTTGGCCCAGGAGAAGGGCATGAGTTTGTCGTCTTTGGGACATCCTCCATCCATGGCAGGCTGATGTCCTCGGACTGACCCTAGGGGGACAGCGAGGGTGGCACAGAGCCTGGCGCCGCTAGCACTGTAGAGCCCTGTGCACGGAAGGCAGAGCTGTACTCAAGTCTTGCATCCTCTACCGGGTCCCCAGCTCCACAATCAATCAGTCCCCAGGATGCAGCTCCAGGCGAGCTCAGAGCAGAGTTTCCGCATGGCTGAGGAGAGATCAAAGCTTTCCTGCCCGGTGTAGGTGACAGCGCTGACCACTCTCGAGGAAACTAAGGGCAAGGGGCCAAAGTGCGCCGAGTCACGTGTGCAGTGCTGAGCGGCAGCCTTGTCTTCCTGCGCCCCGCCCTGTTCCGCCCCAGAGTCGCCTCGCGCCTTCTCCTGACGCAAGGGACCCAAACCGCGGCGCCAGGCTCCCACCCAGAGCTCTGAATATCTTAGCCGGCAGGTGGAGGTCCCCCCAGTACCCCCTCAGCACAGTGGACCAGGGAGGATGAGGTCCGGGCACCAACGGGGTGGGGAATGGGTCCTTTCTCCATGCACGTTGCCAAAGCAGAAGGGAGGCGGGGTCCTTGCAGCTGCCTTGCTTTGGAGGGTGTTTTCGGTTGTTTTCTTTTTGGTTTTTGGAGTCAGGGTCTTGCTGTGCAGTTAGGCTGGCCCTGAAGCCATGATGTAGCCCAGGCTGGCCTTGAGCTCACAGTGATCCTCTGCCTCAGCCTCCTGAGTGCTGGGATCCCAGTTAGGTTTTAGTTTTTATATCCCTTTCACTGGCAAAATCAAAGGTGGTGTCTCCCAGCATCAGGGATGGTTTGTTGCTCTGAGGTGTCCTGTACTACAATGGGCTCCCCCCAGGAGCAGCCCTGAGGGCCCTGAGGCTTTGTGACACCAGATTTGGTCCAACAGAGCAGTGTGGTTCACAGCCCAGAGCACACGGCGCAGGGGAGGTGGAGGAATGCACGCACATCTTGGGCCCAGGTGCCAGTTCTGCCCCCAGCCAGATTGGCAGCCGAGGATAAAAGCTCTGGCTGCTCCACTTGTTCCTGGCAAAGTCAGCCATTGGCTGTTGCTGCTTGCTATGGCCCCGGACTCAGGATGCTCAGGTTGGTGTCAGAGGGACCCGAGCTCTGGCCTGTGAGCAGAGCACATGCAGGGCGCCCGTGCTTCACAGCCATGCCTGTGGCCAAATCCCCCGGGCAGCAGAGATGAGCACACAGGCAGGGGCACAGGCTGCACGGGGAGGAACAGCAGTCCATTTGCCTGCCTGTGAAGGCTGCCAGGTCCCTTTGTCTGGCGCTCCAGGAAGGCACACCGTGGTCAGCCAGCTGCAAGTCTGGCTGGTCTCTAACTCAGGGGCAGGAGCAGGAGGTGGGCAGCACAGGCCACGGGGGTCAGGTGACCGGGGTGCTGACCCCATTACACACATACACACATGCACACACATGCACACACATCCCTCACCTGCAGGGCAGAGCACTTTGCAGGCACCTCGGCCATGGTGAGGATGGAACAGACCCAGTAATGCTTAGCCCAACAGGTCCCTGGTGAGTCAGGGCTCGGAACAATGGGGCTGGGCTCCATCACCCACTTCCCTCCTTCCTGGAGGCGGGCAGGGCTTCAGCTGCCCAGATGGACCTTCCTGCCAGCTCAGGGACACTACCTGAGATGTTTGGGTGAACACACCCTTCCTGACTGCACCCTGGCACTGAGTTGGACGTGGTTAGACCACAGGCTGCAGGGCCGGCCTCCCTCCCTCCCAGGTGGAACAGAAGGGGGTGCTAAAAAGGAACCTTCCACAGGCAGCTGCTTCTGTGTGGTTGGGCTCACTGGTGTATTCAGCAACGGCCACAGGCTGGAGCAGGATGAGGGAGTCCCTGGGGGCAGAGACCCAACGGCCAGGACCCAGCTGGGAGTTGGGAAGGAGACAGGCCCATGTGAGGGGAGCAGCTGGCGGTGACTTCCTCTGCTCTTGGGGCCCAGAAAGCAACTTCTGGGTGAACTGAAACCTACCCCAGATTCTCAGCTCCCCTGAAGAGCGGATTTTTCCGGACCCCACAGCTGGGCGCAGGAAGGTCTGCTCTGGCCATGGGCATGGAGCCATTCTCGGGGTTTCTAAGCCAGGCCCCTCTGCCCAGCATCTGAGCTGAGCCAGCTGCCAGTTAACACATGCCTACATCCTGGCAGAGCCTCCTGCTGCCAGGGCTGCCCCCTGGGAATACGCCTTGTGACCAGGCCCAGAGTGGTTCCCTGAACCCCACAGCCAGGGTCCATTTATGGACTCCCCAGCAAACGTGGCAGCAATGTGCAAAGCAGGTCACCACGTCCCCTGACACTGGAACGGCCCATCCCAGCCCCTTGCTGTCCCCAGCCCCTGCCGTGGACCCTCAGTGGCCCTGGGGTTGGGCACTGAGGCCTGGGAAGAAGATTCAGGTACTCACAGCACGCAGAGCGCGTACGCCCGGGAGATGGACTCACTGGCCCGCACCAGGAAGCTCCCATCCTTGCCGGCCCTGGACAGCAGCTCCTCCGCCTTGGAGCGGGTGATGTTGCCATGGTTCCAGCTGGAGACCATGGTGGGCGTGGGTCTCCTGCGCTGGAGACCTGCCGCCTGTCCCCTCCGGTCACCTCTGTTGCTGCCACCAGCTTCGTTGACTGCCTGACTTCCTGTTTCAAGTGCTCAGCGAGGGAAAGGAAACTGTGCTGCAGAGGACTTCCTCATTACAGACCCAGCAGAGAAGAGAGGCCCAGCGTCCATCTTCCCACCTCCCTTGCCGGGGATTGGCCCCTCCCTCCTTCTCTCTGGCCCTTGCTTTCCCCGGGAAGGGTCCCAGCCTCCAGCAGCACGCTACGTGAGCCCAAGTCCTGCCTGCAGGGAGCACGCCTCCCTCATTGCCAGGAGACACACTGGTTTCCAGAGCAAAGTGGCCTGGTGGCCGGCAGGGACTTGCTCACGTGGGATGGACATCCTGGTCACACCCCTGAGCCTCCTTGTCTACCCTCAGGCCATCTAACTCCCCGCCCACCCCCACACACCCAACAGTGGCCAGAGTCAAATGGACGGTGGGACAGCACAACCTGCCCCTCCCCCACAGGGACACCTGCGGCCTGGCTGCGCCCACCCCCACCAGGACTCCAGGAGCCTTGAGCAGCTCTGTGACTCCATCACACCCATCTCCTAGGGGCGAGCAGGCTGCACTGGTCCTTCCCCGACTTGAACTTGACTTAGATACACAGGGCCCAAGGGCTCAGGACACTGACAGGCTACTGCGCCACTGCAGGTGGGGTGCTCCCCACTGGACCTCAGGGGAAAAGGACCCACACTGGCCACCTAGTGGAGAGTGACACTCCTTCCTGACTCCTGCATCACAGCAGAGTCCGGGGTGGCTGGTCAGTGTCCAGTACCAACAGGTTTCTGGGGAGCCCAGAGGTGGACGCTGTCCCTTGACAAAGATGGGCGCCCTCAGTCCTGGGGTTGGAGGTTACTTACTGTACACATGACGAGCCCTGCCCCCCACTCCCACATCAGATCTGGCCCCCAGGATGGCACAGCAAACCCCCCTTCCCAGGAGCTTCCCACAGCCCCACACGGACCTGCAGGAGTTCAGTGGAATTTCCCATCATCGCTCAGGCCTCGGCTTCTGGCCTACCCAGAGGCCATGGCCTCCCACCTCACACACGGTAGGTGAGTCTCCAGGTGGGCAGGCCCAGGCTGGCACGAGGTGCAGGATCTCATGGTGACAAAAGCTGACCTCGTGCTCTTCCTACCCCAAGCAGCTGGTTCCTGAGGACATTGGCCCTGCTGCGGCCCAGTATGCAGCCCCAGCGCCCCACGGCCCAGCTCAGCTCCGCCTCACCAGCCCTCTGCTTAGGACTCTGCCGGCTTCTATGCCCTGAGCACGCTGGCACCTTTCCTTTCCTTGGGCCACCACCTGCTCGCTCCCTGTGCCCTGCGCTCCCCTGGGGCTCTGTCCACAGTCCTGGCCCCTTTGTTCCTGATCTGTTTTCCTCTAGGCCCCTAAGACTGGTCCAAGACCGCATCTGAGACCCATTCACTCACAGGCAACTTCCTCCCACACCACTGCTCTGGCCCACTCATCTTCATTCCCACCAGCCCCACCTTTCAACCCAGAGTGAGCCCGACACACCCCTGACACACTGCACAGCACACACAAGACACATGTTTGACAACCCCCCCACTCCCTTCATTCCAGGGCCCCTCCCGTCTGGCTCCCTTCTGAGTGACCTGACACAGTCAGCGGCCCTGTCCCCCGAAACCTCAGCATCCAGATGGCCCAGGTTGGGGCCCAGGTGGACATTTTTTTTAAAACTCCTAAGCCCAATGCTGTGTGGAGGACAGGATAGGAAGGGCCAGTCCGTGTACACTCAAACAGGCTTGGTGTACAGCGTCAGCTGCAACTTGTAAGACAGACATAACTCCGCCAGAGAGTACACCTTGTGCTAACTTGCTTCAAAGACAGACCGGCTCAGTTAAAGACAGTGACTGAGCCTGCTCACTCCCCCGAGCCTCTGACCTTCCTGCTGTATGATAAGAAACCCCTTCAGCCCAGAACAAGTCTGCCTGACAACACATGACCTGGCCTGAGTGACCAACTATAAAATAACCTGCTATCTGCCTTTTGTACTTCCTGCCTAACATATGTAAGTGTCTGTTTAACCCCAAGGTGCGGCTGGTGATTTGGAACTGTTGCCTCAGCCCCCTAGGAACTCCTCCGTGCCTATGTGTCCTCCATCCGATTCAGTCCTGGTTTTTCCACAACAGTCCCACAGCTGGTGCATGTGTGGGTGGGAGGTGGGAGCTGCATGGTGGAGGTGGTGGCTGCCTGACACCTGGCTGGAGTCTCCAGGGGCTGTGGAGTGACTGCCCAGATGCTGTTGGCAAGGGCACAGAGGGTACAGGACAGGTGTCAGCCCCTTGCTGCTCTCAGTGCCCAGGGTGACTTGGAGGGACAGTACCTCATGGGTGCCAAGCTCAGGGCTCTTCAGCATCCAGTCAGCTCCCATGTTGAGCAGAGGTTTGGAAAGCAGCTGAGGGAGAGGAGAGGTAGGACTTATGGGGGCCCAGGCCAGGCTGGGGGACCCTGCTTGTGGTACTGCCTCTCCTGGATGCTCCTTGGCAGCAGAGGGAGAATTGGAAAATTTCTGGGGAATCAGGTCAGTGAGCAGCACTCAGGTGGTCTGGCGGCCCTTGGTCCCAGGCACTCGATCACCCCTGGAGGGACAGACAGAAGGACAGACAGAGCTGGGTCTGAAACCTCTTGGCCAGGTGGGGCTATAGGAGCAGATCACACAGGGACACCCTCTGGTGGTGTGGCCAGGGTGGCTCTACCACGGGCAAGATGCAGGATGGTGTCAGTGTCTTAGAAGGGGCCAAGGCAGGAAAGGGACCTCAAAGCCACCTCAGAGGGACAGGACTGGGGCAGGAGGCACCACTCCCTCATGGGCAGGTCTCAGCTCTAAGGAACCGCCCAGGCGCCCCTGCCTGGCCTATTCACAGAAGCCCTGGATGATGCGCCAGGGCCCTTACTGTTTGAGGAAGGGAGAGGACACAGCAACTGGGGAAGTCATTGAATACAACAGGAGCTGCGACCACCATTGTGTGACAACCCGTCCCGGCCACAGGACCCAGACACTCACTCAATGGCCGTTCTAAATGTTGCCATGAGAGCATCTTTTAAGGCTGAGGTAGCACTGACGTCAGCCGGCCACCAGCTCGGCGGTCAGGTCAGCCCCACTCCATCAGCCACAGTCCCAGGAAAGAGCTGACTGCAATACTAGTCACGCTGGGGCTCCAGCCCTGGCCTACTTTTCGGGCTGTGGATTTGCCGGATCCTCGGCCAGCGAGCTGCTTCCGCAAACACATTTGTCTACTGCTGTCTGTCTGCCTACCCACCTATCTGCTGGTCATCTACAGCCATGCATGCCATAGATATAGTATGTGGTGCACATCTGCAATTTCAGCACACAGGAGGCTGAGGCAGGAGGATCAATGTGATTCGGAGGCCAACCTGAAATACATAGTGAGACCCTGTCTCAGAACACTGAAAATAAATAAATAAAATAGAGTAGAAACAAAGCCAGAAACACATATCATCCTAGGCCTATTCAAGGTCAGGAGGATCTGAGTCACCGTCCTCCTCCCCCACACCTTGTCCCCCTGGGCAGTGGCATGCACAGAGTTGTCCTGTTGGCATGACCAGGCTTCTCCTGGATGCCTCTGTGGGGCCAGGGCTCCACTTGGCTTGATTCTTCCTTAGCTGGATCTGGGAAGCTGAGTAAGGACCCTGCATGGTTTAAACAGGGTTGCTGGCGTAGTGAGGTTTCTTCCTGTACTGCCTTCCCCGACCTCACCGCGCAAACCCTTCAAGGCCTAGGAGGAAGCTTCCGCAAGCTCCTGCAGATGTGGGCTTCTGAGTCCCAGCTGTGCCACTGATGCTCAGCCTCTCCCCATCCAGGTGACGACCTCTTTAAAAGACTGTGGACACCCGTGCTGAAAGAGTTTACAGCTGTGTACCATGCCTGGCACGAGGTGGGCATTCAGGATGCAGTGGGGGCCCTGGAGGCAGAGCCATGGGGGCACCGATGGGCTGCACCACTGTTCACAACCCTGGCCTGGAAGAACCCTGGATTTTGTAAAAGTCCTGGTCACCTCTTTCCTGCCTCAACCTGGATCAGGGTCTGAGCCTTTCGGCCACCAGGGGGCGCCCCGAACACTGGCCACCACCAGGACCAGAAGTGGCTTCCCAAGGCGGGTCAAGGGCCCAAAAGTGTACTCAGGGATCTCAGCCCTTATCAAAGTCCTGGCAGCCAAGCGCTGCCCTTTCACGCAAGGTGATGAATATCAAAGAGGACTGAAATGCCCGGAGAATCAGGGTTGAATTTGGGAAGAAGTGGGGTGGGGACAGCCCTATCCACAGAAGGACTTGTCTCTGTCAGGTTTGCTGTCTACAGTCCCAAGGTCAGAGACAGAGAGCACCAGGAAACCAGTTCACCAGGCGCTAGGCCTGCTGGCATTTCCACAAGCAATTCCTTCACTCTGCCTCCTTTCCAGGTTTTGTTTCTTTCTTTTCTTTTTTTCTTTCTTTCTTTCTTTCTTTCTTTCTTTCTTTCTTTCTTTCTTTCTCTCTCTCTTTCTTTTTGGCACCAGGGATCAAACTCACGACCTGAGCTAAATCTCCAGCCTTTCCAGGTTTCTTTAGTGACTACACACTGCTTTTATAAGAATGAAAATTAAATAAATGAAAAAGGCAGTTTGGCCGGGCATGGGGATGCACAACTGTAACCCCAGCACTCAGGAGGCTGAGGCAAGAGGATTATTATAAGTTCAAGACTAGCCTGGGCTACAAAGTAAGCTCAAGTCCAGCCCAAACTGCATAGTGAGACCCTGTCTTAAAAAGACAAATAAAGAAAAGAAAAAGGCAATCTGTTTCTGGGTGGTGTGTACAAAATCCCACTGGAAGGGCTGCCATACCCTAAGGGACACCCCCCAACTCCATTCCGCTGTCAAACATTTCTTAAGATGTCTAAGAAAGAGACCAAGGTTTCCTTTATCTTTTGCTTAATCATTTTTTTCTTTGTTTTTGAGTACAGGCTAGCCTTGAGCTGGCTTATATAGCCCAGGCTGGCCTCAACTCCCAAAAGTCCTCCTGCCTCAGCCTTCCAAGTTTTGGGATTACAGTGTTGGTTGTTTTTCAAAATTTTCTATGCATACATGACCCTTCTTTGTGGTTAATTTTGAGACAGACTCTTTCTGGGTTGTCCAGGCTGGCCTTTGAACTCACAGTGATTCTCCTGCCTCAGCCTCCC